TAGACACCTAGCATCCAGCCAAGGTCAACCCACAGCATATGAGAAGCTGTTAAAAAGCAATCACATTTATACTATGTCTGGGAACAAAAAATAGAAACTGGCAAGCTGTATGGCAGCCTCCACCTCTTTGAGCAGTTCTGTCTGTATGCAAACAATCCACAGATGTCTCTCCTTGTCTGAACAGGGCTTTGAGGTGAGTTTTACATGCCATACATATACTAGCACAGTCATCTACTAGCTATTTATGTCTGCTGTGTAAAGGATTATAATTTCATTTTCAAGAAGAAAATTCCTTCCTCTTGGAAAACAAAATGTTCACAAAAACTGTGCCACCACATCAGAAGAAAGATTAGTAGAAAATTCAGTGAAATAGTAACATTAATTATGAACTTCCTAGCAAGCTGCAATATAAGTAGTATGAGTTTCTACAAATCAGTATATATTGCCAAAAAGAGTAGCTTTTGTGTCCTATTTATTTCTTCATCACAAATATGTTACTATTTATTAGTACTATATTACTATCTATGTAGTAGTATTAGATTTTTTTATAGATTACATTGTTGCTAAAATTCAGGGAATATTTCTGTTAGAGTTAATTTGTATAATTGCTAGCTAACTGCAATTAATTGATGAATGTTTTCTCAGGATTAAAATTTAATGAGTAAATTCTCAAAAATAAAGCATTTTAGTAGCAGAAAAAATGTGATACTTTTGGACAATATTATTTGTCATTCTTGTTTTCTTGCAGAATAACTCCGAAGCAGAATTTAGCAAATAATTATGGAGGTAAAGTCAACCCCTGTGTTGACTTTTACACAAGAGAAGGCACAAAAAGAATGTACTATATTTTATATGGGTAGCCGATTACATATTAATTTACTGCATGTCTTTAAAGGAAGGCAAAGAGACACTGGGAAGCAGAAATCAATGTATAGAAACTCAGAAACTAAATGGACTGTAACTAGATCTCCCATTTATGATCTATTTCAGGCTACATAGACAACACCTACTTAAGGTATCTAAGATCAAATACCTTCTATCCGAGCACCCTGTTAAGTATGGAGGAGAGTCAGAACAGCTAAACAGAGACCTTGGACTGGCTGTGAATACTTCCCTGTATTCCTGTACAAGAAATTCCCCATATTTCTGTACAAGAAATGTAAATTTCACTTGATTAGCTCAGCATAATCCCAACCAGCAAGGAACATAAGTACTGAAATCTCAGTGTCTCAGTAGCTGCATTGGCACATGTTTTCTTTAAGTCCGAGCCTTTGGAAATAGCTATCCTCCCCCAATAGAAAATTTGCTCCCTAGCTCTCCCACACAGCTTCACAAAGGAATTTAGATAGCACTTTAGCCCTCTAAATTTAGACTGCCACTTCATTTCTCTAAATCCAGCTGTGAGACCCTCAGAAAGCCCTGCTTAGCTGTCACTTAACCTGAAAGGCACTGAAATTATCTCAGCATGGAAATACTCCACCAATAAATTATTCTAGATGCCCAAACTTCTGATGCTGGATAACAATATCTTGTGTATATCCTGAAGATGCCGAGCAGCTGCAAATGTGAGCATGGCAGATTCTCAAATTAGGCATTTTGCTGCTTGGCTTGTCTGTTGGGTCTAATCTCACAGATGTCCTTGTATGCCAACAACTGAATCAGATTTCAGGCGTTCTATTGCCAGAGGAAGGGATATTACATTACCTCTGAATAATCACTTCTAGTTCATTTTTTTGGGGAGGTGGGAGATGTATTTTCAAATTCCTCTTCGAAATCAGGCACAAAAAGGAGGTAAGGATCTGAATCTTTTCACTGGGATGTCATATAAAAGACATCATTTCTGCCTGTTTTATCAGAGAAAGGCCATTAGAATATAGTATTAAATAAATACAAATTCATCCATACTACATAAAGTCATTTCCTTCCAACTGCCTTAGCAACATTGCTGTTCAGCAGCCTCTTCTATTTTATTCATTAGTCTGTTTTAGAGAGTCGCTTGGGTGACTTTTTACTCTCTTAGTGCCCGCTATGGGTCCTATTCTTAGGACCCTGCTGCTTTCCATGTGCAAGAATTCCTAAATCTGAACTGAGAAGTTCACTAGAGAACAAGTGCCTACCAATCTGTATTAGTAAAGAAAATCTCACTTGCAAATTTAAATTCTTACTGCTTCATGTCCCATGTGTCTGAACTCTCAGTTCAGTGCTGCCTACTCTCAATTTTACCTTGCTGTCTCACTGCAGGAAAACCAGTCCCTGCAACAGATAGGAAGTTTGTTCCTCTACAGTTTGAACTCAATCGAAAATTCCTGCTGCTTTGAACGATACAGAATCAAATGTGGTTCAGAATCACAGTTCTTTGGGACTTGTCACAAAGAGAAACTGGGCATGTGCAGTCTCATGCACACCTGCAGCACTTAAAATACTGCAGCTGTAAGAAGATGGAGAAAACTATTAGAGGATGAAAGGAGTTTGTTAGCAGTGACTGTAAATAGTGAATTAAAAAAATATTCTTCTGATCTTAACATGCCATACAGAAAATGGATTTAGCCTGGAAAATCAGCTTTTGTCAGGATTGTCTGGACAATTGGCATCCAGGTAAAGTGGAGTCCACTATATAGCCTCTGTAAAAATATCAAATCAAGGATTAGCCTTATCTCAGATTTCAGTTTGCTAGTGATCTAAAAAGGTTACTTCACAGAAAAGTTTTATACATAATAGCACCTGGAAAGAAAGAGATTAAGACAACTTTATTCATTAGCCTTAGAGGTGTTACAGGATTCTGCAGATTTTCTATTTTTAAATTAATTCAGGAGAAAAATGTACATGTTTTATTTCCATAGCTGCAAGGACAAACTCACAGTTAAAAAAATTATCATTCCTGTTACAGAGTCTTAAGTTGTACACTTAAAGTTGGTGAAGATGAAGTGGAGCACAAACGACTGAAAGCCAAATAAGATTTGGCCCATAACATTGACTCATAACAGCAAATGAGTGTAATTATTACAAGCCAATTTTGTTGAACAATATTGGGGGAAAGTAAAGGAAATCATTAGTTTAGAATAACTTTTGTTTGTTTGCAATATTTAAAGCATGCTGGAATCTTATTTTATTTAAACTCTAACACATCCTCATAATAAAGAGAACAGTTACATTTGTTTCATTATACCTTTAATGTTTTAATAAATCTATAATTTCTTAAGTATATTATTTTTTCAGAATTTATATGCTTAGTTTCAGACCAGAAATTAGACTGAGTTCTAATTTTTTTTAAAAAATAGGTCTACCAATCTTCTGATATACATAAACTGATCTAGAGCTATCATATTGCTTTGCAGTTCTTGGTGAGACAGAATAGACAAAATATATTTCAAGATTAAATAATGGATAGAACGATTTTATGAGAAATGTTTTAATGCTCTTGCTGCAGACTTTGACAGTTTTGTTTTCATCTAGGGTCTGACAGAGCATTTCTTGTTGATTTCATCCTTTAGAAGAGAAATTACTTAAATATTTCCATATTGTGTCATGGGAAAGATCTACAACTCAGCTCCAGCTCACAAGTAATGTTAGTGCCATGCATTAACTGAGATGATCAGGCTGCTTTAAAGGCCCGGCCTATTAGGCTGGACACAGAACCGTAGTATGACAGATGTATAGTTTTCAAATATTAGCAGATAGCTCTGTAGTAGCTATAGTCATGCATTTTGCTGAAGGACCATATCAACAAGCCTGGAACTACCTCAGAAGTATTCAGAATGAAAACACACGTTACTCTGGTTTGCCCTGGTGAGAGCACAATGGGTTTTGTGAACATGTGGGAGTTAATCTAGCCAAGTTCTTTAATTTTCCTAGAGAACTTATAGCTCTTGGAAAAATCTGTAACATACATTATTACCACTGGCTAAATTGATGCTTTTATTCTCTGTATTTTCCTTTATATAATTTCACCAACACATTACAAGCCCTTTGCCAAACAGTAGGATCATTTTAAAAAGAAGGTGATTTTATTTGATCTGGACAAAACGTAATCTTCACAGAAATAATATGCCAGGAGTTATGAATGTGTTTCTTATTTCATCCAGGGTTCGTTCCTGTTCTAGTGCAGTTTAATAACAAGATGCTATTAAATTCAAAAGGATGAGAAAGAGACTAGTATAAGCAGCGATGCTCTATTAAAAACCTTGGAGGCAAGCAAATGATCTCTGTAGGGAATTTGCTACTCCCCATTACAAAATTATATTAGGCTTGTGGAAAATGTCATATACATTATTCTGCATTTTATGTTGAGGAACGAAAAGTCTTTCAATAAGTGATTTCCATTATACAAGTAAACAAAGCTCAATGGCTTGTGCAGGCAATAGTAGTGATAACTGTGTTGTGAACACATACAGGGAAGCATGGCATTTGAGGAAGATTATTTTGCACTATAAATATCATCCTTGTGCATAGCTTCTGAAATTTAAAGAAAAAAAAAAAAAAAAAACCAATTAAAAAAAAGTCAGAGAAATGTTCCAAAGATGGAAGTGCTTTGTCCAGTTTATATTACCTAAAGATTAAGTATGTTTGAGGTTCCTGAATAATAAATGGCTATTATTCAGTCCTTCAGCATTGACAGGATTGATATCTAGTACTCTATGACACTGCAGAACAAGAAATGCAAGCTGCATGCTGCTAGAAATGGGAGGGAACCCAGCTTTTAACCCTAGGGTGTTATATAAGAACTGCATCACTGTGCCTCTTTGAACTGTGTTGCCATCAGCTGAAATTCTACAGGAGGAGCTGCCCACCACTTTGACATCCCATGTGAATCCACAGCTAACAGCAACCACCTCCAGAGTAAACAGGGCCGCTTTGCCACAAAGAAAGAATCAAAGCAGCCAAGAGTGGAAGTGGGACAAATTCATTTGATAGTTTATATTTAACAAACTGCATATAGTGACTTTTTGCCTTAAAATGTAGCTGGTATTAGACTCATCACTTCTGTATTTAATTTTTCTCAGGTTTTGACCTTCTAGAAAATGTCAGTAACTTTGCAGATGACATTTTGTTGACAATGTTATTAGCCTTGAATGTTTTCATCAGCATAATTGCATATGGTAAATATGGGGAGGTCTCTCTGGTTTCTAGTGTTGCTGTTATTATAAATCAGCTGTTAGATTCTAGAGAAATGTTAATATTTATTAACCGCTTAGTGTATCAGTGTATTTTTAAGAAAACATCTGTGTCATCTTATTTGAGCATGAGAAATTATCAGAGCAATAATGTGTCCCATTCTCTGCTATTTTTATTATTACGTTTTTTCCTGCCATGCACTTCCATTTTATAAGAAGCAAAATGAGTGTGCATAAAAAAAATTACATATCAAGACTTCTGTTGTGAATAACATAAGATATTTGAATCTTGGAACAAATACAGTACTGAGAGAACTGTATTTGCATATTAAAGCAAGGGGTTATTAAAACTGTGCAGAGAAAGACAGGAAGACAGATGGTTTTTTAAAATTGTGTTCTAAAATATAGGGAAGTGAATAACAATAAAACAGAAAAAATGTCCTGGTGAAAAGAAAATATCTTTAATGTTGAATTTAAAATATCTTTGAAGAACTAGATAATTAGACTAGATATTAGGAAGCATTTCTTTATGGAATGGGTTGTTAGGCGTTGGAATGGGCTGCCCAGGGAGGTGGTGGAGTCCCCATCCCTGGAGGTGTTTGAGAGTTGGGCTGATGTAGAGCTGAAGGATATGGTGTAGTTGGATAATGTTAATGTTGAGTTGATGGTTGGACTGGATGATCTTCAAGGTCTTTTCCAACCCGGACAATTCTGTGATTCTGTGAAGAAGAACAGCAAACTTAGTTTTATTTGATTATGACCAGGAACTCACCAGATTTGCTCATAGAACTGAGAAGCTAAAAATTGGAATAGCACTGATCAGTACTGGAATGTTAGTAAATCATCTTGGTGATAGAAACAACTTGGCTAAACTAATGTACATAGAAAGTATTTTGTGGGTACAACTATGTCACTGAGATTTTAACTATTTATTTTTGCCTGAAATTTACAAGTTCTCCAAAGAAATGGTCTCCAAACCCACAGATTATGGATGAAAAACACATGTTTCAGGCCTGCTGTTTGCCATATATCATTTAAGCCAATGATAAATGACAGTCAGTAGAAGCTGTTCAACCAGAAATCCAAGAGTACCACATGTTGTCACCTTGTTTGCATTCCTGGAGAACAGAAATTACTGACCTGGAAATCCAGAGTAGGCTTAATCATATACAGATTCAAATGTTGTGAGACCAAAAAGTATCCATCTCCATAAGTAGTACCATGCAGGTGGGAAGCAACAAGTGTTTTTAGACTGAAATAGAAATTAAGTCATCAAATTAAGGGGAATGTGGTAGACTAGAAGCTTTAGTTACACATGACAATACAAGCTCTTCTTAGTTGTAACAGATTCCCTGCTAAAGAGCTGCACTGATCATTGATCTTTGATATTTGGATTAGAATAAATATTCAAATTGTATGTATGTTGTTCCAAACTCCCCCCATGGCCTCTGATCCCTACAGTGTACTGATTTGTTGCAAGGCGTAAAGTATGATTTGAATCGTTGTCCAAACAAAAGGTGAAACAGTGAATCTTCTAATCTTGCCAGTATTGCTCCTGAGGAACCGCAGTATAAAATTTATCACAGACTTGGTGGCTGCCAAGGTGAAGCAAGATGGAAAATTTAGTGGTAAACCAAAATTTTAGATGAATAAAGGGCAGCCCTTGGGTATGATCTAGTATACAGGCCAGAGGCTATAGCATCTATTTTATTTAAATTTTGAGTGATTAATATACAGAAAGGCAGTTTACTAATGCTTTACCCATTTGTAGATTAAACAAAGACTCATTAACTCACATGAGACAGTTCAGTTTTATTTTTAGCTGCAGTATGGCTGGTGCAATGCCTCTTCTTTTAACATTTTCATTTTGCATTGCCTTCAGTCCTGACATGAAAGTTAACATTAATCTGCCAACTCATTCTGATTGGATTGCTTTGGAAGTCACTCCAAAGTCACAATGGCTAAATGGGATGAAGCTGTAAGACAGAAATGCATTGCAGTTAATACCTCTGCAGTACTGAAGCTAAGCCAGTGCCAGCCCTAATTCCTGAAAGAAAACAAATCCACAATAATCCATCCCTTAATTCTGAACAGAGCGGCACAATGCCAAAATATATAAAACATGTATTCCATACTAAAACACTGTATTTTATTCCACTGTGGTTTCTCTTGGCCTTTTATTCATGTAGTTTGAGGTCAACGAGCAGCATACATGTGAAGGTGTTATCTGTACTGACAGTTACAGCATTCCAGTGTTCTTCTGAAGTAAGAGGACTTGGGAAGAGAATGGTTGTTGAAACAAATAATTTCAGTTTCTGCTGAAGCAATAAGAAGGCAAAAATTAAGATACCTCCCAATCCCACAGACACTCCTGCCCAGAAATCTGAGAATATTTTCAGTCATTTAATTTTGTTTTGTCATAATCTGGGTCAGATTTTGATTCTGGAAAAAGCAATGATGATTCCATTCATGTCTAATTAGTATCAGTTTGGAAATTTTGATTAGGACAATGCTGATTTTAGCCCAAATCTAGACTGTGTTATTTAGAATCTATTCTCCCTAAAGTGCTTTTGTGATGATAACTTAGTGTGACAAAAGAACCAGTTTAGATGTTTCTATCTTCATCCGAAAATGTGTCTTCATGTAGAAATAAGCCTTAAATATCTTACTAGCATGAAATGTCCCACAGAAACAGATAAGCATGTCACAATGAGTTGGCTAGCAAGTATTTCTAGGTATCAGGCCTAATTGGAACCCCTTAGGATTCCATTACAACCGCCTTTTTGTAATGTAAGCCTCATACTTTATTAAAATATATTTTTTAAGCCTTATGTTAAATCAAACTACGAAAGGAATTTTGTTCATCACCCGGCCAGAGCTGAGAAACAAGAACAAAGTGGCAAAGTACCCCATTTATTTCAGGGTTGGCAGGCCTTATTGTGAATGAAATCCTTGATACTACTCTAAGGCCCTTAAGATACGTATCTATAAAAAGAGTGGAAATATTTCAAGAAATTCACTTCAAGGTGCCTAAAAATATTAAAACCTATTCAGTTTTCAAGCACTATATATACATATATATACATTTGTTCATTATTCTTTATTTATCCAATCTGAGTTTCTTTCTCCTTCATTTTGTCAACTTTGTGTTTTTTCCACCACCTTTGATAAAATTGTCAGATTGTAATTTTTATCTTTGCAGCAAAAAAAAAATCTGTGTGGCCTACAGAAATTATTACTTTATAAATGAAGAAGAGTACTTACTGCCAACATTTCAGAAGCCCAGAAGAGACAAGGAGGCCAAACATCTTGCTTCTATCCTCTGGCATAGCTTCTCAAATGAAGGTGCAGAAGGCTGTATAGACAAAAATGAGCTTTCCCCTCCCACCACATTTTAAAGACTGTGATATACCTGATTTTGGTACCATTGTCAGTAAGTATATGGCTGGATGGCTGGAGAGTGATGCAAAACAATAGGTAGCCATGAGCCAGTCATCCGCAGCCTGACAGATCTGCATTCAGTGCTACGTGATGAAATGGTATGACTTTGAAAAGCCCTAAAACTTCACGTACAGCCCTACATTTGAAACAAGACTAATCAGCTCAATAGTACTGTGCTGATGCACCTGTTTGCTTCTGCTTGGATGTCTAGCTGTAGCTCTATAGTGGGCACTTACATATATATGCATGTAAGACAATATTCATGCCTATTGTTAACATCTATTTTTAAAGGTTGAAAACCCTGCTTACCTCCAGCAAATGCTGCAAACAATTGACTCACAAGTGAACTATAAATAATGTTTGCAGCACATAGCCCATGCAACATACTGCTCTAGCGTTACTGAATATTCAGAACCTGCTGCCTCTGGTAGCTATATACGTCATGTTCATGACAGGTTTAGTCTTCAGTAGCCCTGAGCCTAAGATCTGGCATGTGTTTTGGAACTAGAGCATTTGCAGATTAGAGAATACTAGCCACAGGGCCAGGTATGATGTGGAAACTTGAAAATACAAAGTGTCTGTACTGACATTCTGAGTATTACCACATAATAATATAAAATATAAAGTTTGGGAGGAGATGAGGGGAATGACTGACAAATGCTGCCAAGCATAAAGCAATTTAAGCAGCTTCAGGGCCGGCCTCCATCATGTGCAAGGCTTCTGTTGTAGGCAGATTTTTGAAGGAAAGACTGCAGGCATGGAAAATGGTATGAAACCGGGTTTAGCAAGGATAGAACTTAACAGACTAAGCTGATAAATGGTTGACCAGCATCAAAACAATTGTAGTAGAAGATGGGAGCAGCTCTGGAAGGGCAACTGCATGTTTCCACCATGCTGATTTGGCTCCCTTGGAGTTAATAAACCAGCCCCTGTGCTGCCTGTCTGCACCCCAGGAAAGTGCAGAGTGCTCAGCTTGTTGGTGGACCAGGGGTGAAGGGAAGGAAAGGGAATGGATCTTCCACATATTGCCAGCCAGACTGATGCAGTAAATCTCAGCATCCCCATCACAACAGGACAGCCCTGCAGTCAGTTCCTTATTTGGCAGGAATAGAGTAAGAGGAAAGTGAAACACATGGGCTAAAAGAAAGGATCCCACCTACCACAGCTTAGTATACACAGCACCAGCTCAGTGTTCAATGCTGCATTATACCCGCTTCCAAGAAGGTTTATTGTCCTGAAGGCAGGAGGATAGGAGCTCATGGAGGCAAGAGTCTAGTAGCAGTATGGCCAGTGCCTTACTGTGCTGCATCTCACATAGAATATTCAACCAGAACCTGTAATTCCATGGTGCACACACATACCAGCTGCCTTTACATAAAAGTCAGCTTGTGTTTGGCCATACCCAGCAGCTCAAGATCTGTGTGATGAGAATGTGGCTACTTCTACAGATACTGAAACAAAATCACTGCATTTGTGCCGCGTGTCTTGACAGCAGGCTTGCCAGACCAAAGCAGGCTATGCTGAGCTGTCTTGGAGTCTGTTCACCTGCATTATGAATTATGCACTAACAGTCTAGCTGACTAAGTTAATGTATATATCTATGTATATCAAAGAGCTAACTGTGGTGTTAAAATGTCAATACATAAATCAAGCTACAGATTAAATATTTGGGTTTTGAGCATTTGTTCTGAAAGATTAAATGAATGAAACAGATATCCTATTTCTGATCATTCTATTCTTTTAATATTTGCCCAGGCAAAGCTATCTTGTAGATCACTCAGACATTGCTGTCAAAACACAAGGTTATAGTGATTTTTACATCTCATGATAAATGATGTCTTTGCTTTATGGGAAAGGATAGTTGCTCATCGAAAAACTCTAATCTTGAGTTACAACTGGTCAAAAAACTCAGCTATTGGAGTCCATATCAAATTTTTTAAATGTTTTTACTTTCTCATTGTGCTGTGAAAATCACTCCATACGTACTTGTGGGAAAAAGCTGAAGTAGATTAAACAGAAATGCCATCAAATGCATAAAGGGCTGAACAGCATCATTTTGATATAAATCTCAAACAAATATAAGTGCATTCTTTGGCTGCCCTGATATAGAACCTGTAATTGAAATTCAGTCTGTATTCTGGACTGTTTTCAGCTCTGCAGTAGGGTCAAGAGGTTTGAACAAAGATAGAGTACTGGCTTGACCCTTTACCCTCTGCCTTACCACACTCTACTCATTATTTCAATCTGCCATTAAAGGATTCTTCCATCAGCTTTCAGATATCTGAACATCACACATAAAGTTGTGTGAATTCAAACAAAATTAATCTCCAATGTGCTGCTTTATTTTGAATGTACTAGTTGCTTGCAGAGGAAAAAAATGTCTGAGCTGTTCTTAAAGTCAGTGAAAAGCATTAAAGATTCTCCCCTGAGATGTGTCCCTTGTGGGGTTAACATTTTCAGCAGAAGATTTAAAATCTCTCTGATTCTGACTGACAAAGGATTACAAAATAGACTTTTCATGGAAACACTGTAGATTGTCCATATTCTTTGGCTTTTCTAGGACATGCTTGAGGAATCCTAAACCTGTTGTTTCTTACAATGTATTGAATTTTATTGTGTATTGATATAATACAGTGTATTGAATTGAATTGTTAATTTATGGCTTTACCAAGGGCTTTTGAAGTATTTTTAGCAGAAGTGAAAGAAAAAGAGGTTATTAAAAGGGCAACTAGCTGATGATTTGGCAGCATTACACATAAAACATAAACACTGTCTTCTTCCACCATCACTTCTTGCTGTTCATGTTCCTCTAACCTAAACATGTCTGATATTTACCACTGATTCATTTAATGTCATGGAGAGGAAAAGGAAAGAAAAGGGGAAAGAGCAGTATCTTTGGAAACAATCACATTTCTTTACATAAATCCTTATTAAAAATTTGATTACAAACAACATGTAGACATCATGAGCAGATTATTATAGGAATGATATTTTCAAACAGCTGGGATTTTATTTATTAAAACAAATATGTTTGTTATGGTTATTCATCAAATTATTTGTGCATATAGCTGAAATGGTCTTTAAACTGTCTCTACATTTTCTATGGTATATTTAAAATAGAATTGTAATAATATAGCTTCAATTAAAAGAAAATAGATTACAAAACATTAGAAGAAACAGACTCCTGTCTAGTATACTGAGAGGTGGTGTTAGTTGTAGGGAAGTTGGAAAAAAAATGTTGATGTTCATCAAGTATTATCAGATACTTTGGGAAATAACCTGAAGAATACCACTTGATTTTCCTTTCATTCTTTTCTGATGAACAAGCACAGGAGGAAAAAAGCTACAGAGTACATGTTGTATGGTAATTATTTAGAGGCCTAGATATTTTGGGGTATTTATGTGGATTGTCTTATTTTCATTAAAAGTCTCATTTGTATTGAGATTTTGTTTGCTAAACAGTCCAGGAATGTGTTCTATAAGCATCTGAAATATCCCCAATAATTCAAATTCCTCCTGGTGCTTTGGATGAAAGAACACCATCAGCCGGAGTCCCCATTGCCCTGGGCCTTCAGTGACACAACTGTGTATAAGATACCACTAAATTATAATAAGTGTTTTCCAGTGGTTTAGAAAACTTCACCAAAGCATGGCAAGAGACAGCGTCTCTAATGGTGATCTCCTTAGCACTCCACATGGTCATTGCTGAGATGCAGATAAGTGACTGAAAAGCAATTACTGCTCGTTCAAACTGCACAGACCCAGAGAAAGGCTTAAAGAAGCTTGATAATATCTGGGAAAAAAAAAAAAAAGGGTTCCAGTATTACCTGGCAGATTTTTTTTTTCTTTGGTGAAATTTCAGACTGTTGTTTAAGAGGATGTAGGATTAGCTATAGTAAAAATCACATAAAAACCCTATATCAAAGTTTTAGCTGTCTAATGGTATCAATTAATGTAAATGCCAAAATCTTTAATAGTTTTTTTTTTTCTTTTGTCATGTAAACTGTTGGATGCAGAAAGTTAAATTAGAAGGTAATCAGATAAATTAAAGAGTTAGTTTGCAGTACAAAATAGGAATTAGATATATACTACCAGAAAACACATCCAACTAATTGTGTCTTAACAAAGATTAATTTGTCTAAGTTTTGGATGACCACCTTTTCAAAGGTGTTAAGTGCTATTGTGAGAAAACAAAAGTATGCTTGAGTTCCTCTTTCTGAACTCAGTTTTCATTTTATTTCCTGTCATTAATATTCTTTAAACCTTTTAATAAAGAATAATGGGCCTAAACAAAGGCTTTTAATATTATTTACCATAAGGAGAGAAAACTGTCATTACACTCTTGTGTTTTCAAATTTGAAAATAATGCATGCTTTCAGTGATGCAGAAAGGTATGTTACAAATTCAGGTCCTCCCTACACCAGAAAAATTTAGGGGTACTAGGAGGACCATTAACAAAACAATAAAAGAGAGTCAAAATGGAGAACATATTATTAATTAAAGTTGCTTCAAATGTTGGTTTTGTTGTTGTTAAAAGCTGTTCTAAAATGCCTATTAGATATGTTAATAACTGACTACTTATGTTCAGAATTTTCCCTGTACAAAATGCTGTACCATTCAACTCTAGATGAGAAAGGGGAGTAAAAAAATCGACATTCCTAAAGTTCCTAATGACAAAATCCTTCAGGAAAAAAAAAAATATATCCAAACTTCTTTGTAAACCCTAATGATATGCAAAAAAGAACCTCCTGTGACTCCTGTCTTTATGTCTTCTGAAAACTTTTTTTTTGTGAACAGGAAACACAGTAAGCATTTATGCCTATTTTATCCTGTCCTGGTTCAGCTAGGATAGGGTTAAGTTTCCCCAGCAGAGAGGGGGAAGGGATCTCCAGCCGGGTTATTCATACCATGCTGATGTCAGATCCGGCAGGAGTGCGGGAAGTTTTTCCTTTGTGGTTTGGGTCACGGGGAGCAGGACGAGAGAGCTGTCTGTAACCATTGTGGTATTTCTCTGTATATCTTTTGTCTTGTTTACTGTTATTGCTGTTTATTGTTGCTATCATTGCTACTGTTGTTGTTCAGATTGTTTATCACACTGTTGTATTAAATTTCTTATTTTAACCCGGGGTTTGTGCCCTGCTTGTGTCCGAGGGTGGGGGAGGGACAATGGCAATGTGGTCTCCGTTCCCGGCAGGGTTTAAACCAACACATGTCCCCCTTTGTTTCTTGTTTTATCCTACATGATGGTAGATCTGGATTCATTCCTGAGGCCAAAAAATCCCTGATAAATCTTGTTGCAGCACCAGAAGATGCCAACTAACTTTGCTGGAAATGGCATCTTGTGCAGCTGTCTAACCGTGGGGAGGGCCAGGATTGTCAGAAGTGACTAAATGATTCTGTTGCCCACACAAAACCACTTCATGTGTCAGGGAGTGGGTACAGGCATATCTTAAAAATCAATACCTAAATGTGCCTGAAGTAGTATACTTAACATCTTTGGAAAGTCTTAGGTTATCATTTAGGACATGGAGTGAACTGTTAGGCAATGATAAAGCAGGTGAGTGTTGTTTTATGTTTATGTTGCCTTTGTCCTACAGAACTCACCGTGTGAGGGATGTTTGCCAAGTTCCTCGATCAAATACTACTCTTCTTGTACCACAAAATTATTTGAAAATGCATTGTGGGGTTTCATATCTTGGAAGAAAACCTATACAGCTAGCTTTTTGCATTCATCTTGTGGAAAGAAGCATTGATTCTTTCACTTACTTTGAGTGAAGAGGTTTGAAAATATATTTCCTTTCCTTCTGTGTCAACATGATACTGTAGGAAAATACTGAACAGCTGAAGTGAAAGGATGTAAAAATCAGCTCAGGGCTGTTCAGTCATAACTGTATGTCTGTTTTCCACTCTAGGAAAAAAAAAAATAAATCTGTGATTCTGTGAAAATCTGAACAATTTTTTTTCAGGAACAGTATTGCATTGTGTTATACGTTTCATAGAATATTTGCACAGAGTATTTTGGAAAATGTGGCAAATTCAGTGTAAGCAAACATGGAATCACTTATCACTCACTTCTTCCAGCCAATCTAACAGACATCATATGCCAAACAATCCTTCTGTGTAATGTGAACAAAAAAAAAAATTCCTCTGTGTACTCCTAAACATTATAATTCAGATGTTTAGTAGACAGGAAAAGGGCTTTTGTAGAAAAAAATAACAATAACAACAGAATTTCAATAATTTCATGTGCTTTAATTTCAATTTTTTCTGTGCAAATCCAGTAAGTCAGCTAGGGAAGAAAAACCTTGAAGGAAAAGCACAGGCTATTTCACACAGAGGCTACACTTTCAACTCACAGAAGGAAATTTAATTTCAGAAAAGAAAATTTGATGTATTAAAGAATTAGAAATGGATTCAGGAGTGAGATCGAGCAGTAGGACACTCCCACTGGTCCTACATAACTAGATTAGGAAATGTCTGTCACTTAGGTGAAAGGCAGAATAACGTCAGGTACTTTTCAGACCCAGTTGTTCAGCAGTTGTGGGGAAAATCTTCGTCGCTCCACAGACTTTAGCCTCTTTGTAGGACCATATGTTTTTAAACAGCACTGACAATCTCAGAATTTTTTTAGGAAAAATAACAATCCAGCATAGCAAATCAGCAACTCACAAGTGTTTCTGGTCAGCAACAAGCCATTTGTAATGTTTAGATACATCTAACCTTTCAAGTACGTAAACTTCTGTAGGACATAATATTCCAGGAGACTGATGTATTTTCCAAAGTAAATCTGGTGAAAAACTGTCTGATTATTAATAAGCATAGATCCTAGGAATAAATATATAAAGATACTGTGCCATTAGTGACATATGTTCTTAACCAATTTATTTGGAAAAAATGAACACAAGTTCAGTTTTCCAAAAACAGTTTTGGAAAGCTGTAAAGAATACAAAAAAATACAAAAATGGAAAAAGAAACCATTTGTGTCGGTATCTGTAATTCTGGTCTCCATTCTGCAGTACAGAATGATGATGCTCTTTCCCAGTTCATCTAAAAGTTTATGATTACTAGTGAGAGGGAAATTATGGCCTTTAGTAGACCTTCGTTTTTAAATCGAACCTGTGGCTACTGAGAGTGCAGTTCTGTCCTTGAGGAATGACTCTGGGAAGTGCAAAATAGAAGATCCCCTGTGTGCACAGTCTGGTTTTCTTTCACCATTCTTTTGAACAATAACATTTGATTATTACTAAATATATAGATCAAATCTTCAGATTAGATTAGATTACACCAGGTTTTATAAAAGCTTTATCTCTTCTTTATACTCCAAAAGGTGTTTTTTTTTTTTTTCTTCTAGCTAGCATGATGGACCCAAAATCTAACCAGACTCATCATCTGCGTGCATAGTTACTGGATTTGCTGTTCAGTAACTTGACTGTTCCTTTTCTTGAACCAAACTGGCTGTACTTACTTGATGAAATTGGAGAAAAGACACCCTGGGAATCTGCTGCTAGAAATCATTTGGTGTCAAAGCAAGTGAAGGAGGTGCTCAAAAGTAACCTTTCACAGAGAAAAGGGAGGAATCCGGGACAACACTGAGGAGCAAGAGTCT